CCCCAAAACCCCAAAACCCCAAAACCCCAAAACCCCTGTTTGTCTGAATAAATTGAGATTAATTATTCTTCATTTTTCCTTTGATCTTTGCCTTTGATTTCATTTTAGACAACTTCTTCGGCAACTGGGAAAAGCAATTCTTCAGATTAGCTGTCTCTTCAGTCTGCATAAACGAAGAAGCCTCAGATTTCTGCGTTTTCTTATGGCCTAATTCAGGAGGCTTGATCGTAGACTTCGCTACAGACTTAGCCTTCTTCTCTTGTGGTGAATTGTCATCCGCTTTCAACACCACAATCTCCGGTTCTTCCACCTTAAACTGCTGTAACTCCTCAACATCCTCCTTATTTCTCTGTGAGGACTTACTTTTACTTAACATGTCATCATCAGAATGGTTCTTTTCATCCTCAGATTCCTCTCCTTCTTGTGAACTATCCGAATCGGATTTGGTCTCTACAATCACATGATTCTCGCTCTTCATCCTAGTCGATAGGAACTCTTCCTTCTCAGGGACTGGTGCTTTGGCCTTACTCAGTTGTTCATTCGGTGAAGCTAAACAGGTCAGATCTTGACTCACATCTGTTCTTGAGCATGGCCATTGCCTTCGTTTCTATAATAAGGTCAGTGGGCTGTCTGAACTGTAGAGAAGGAATTTTGACAGAGAGAGGGGAAGTGATAGGGAATAAGGAAGCTGGAGGAGGGAATAGACGGGTTCTTACTTGTGTTAGCTACTTTGAGAAATTTATTATCAGAGACATCCTTTGCTTTTCTCTTCCTTTTTAGAAGTTTAGAAATAGCAAAATTGTCTACGGCACTACTTTTTCTGGGTTCCTGGTTGCTGGAGTTGTAAGAATTGCCATATAAGTTCTTCTGAATTTTACTCTTTTTTATTTTCTTCATGTATTTCCGCCATTTAGCAATTATGACTCTTTTCTTCCTTCTATGGAGAAGGGAAATTACCTTTTTCATTTTCCTAATCCTTTCTACTATACCTTTAGGAGTTAGGATAGAGCGATACAAGGGTCATAAGTAATGGTCAGATGATAAAAAGGCTGAGGTTAATACTTCTAAACTTTATACCAAAGGGTGAATCACTAATCTAATCATGAGATTCAGTATCAAGAAAGACCAAAAATAACTCAAATTCTTAAAAATCTAGCTTGATTTCTTTGAGAACTCTAAAATTTACTGCCTAATGATACGCTTAGCCTGCCCATAGATTTATTTATAAGATACTATACTTTTCCAGACTCTCTGAATGACCATTGCAGCATCATCTTTGACTCTGTCTCTCATGATCTCGAAATACTGCTGGTTAGAGATGAGTCTATCCTTCATCATTTCGTCCCATTTCTTTCTGGTGAGAAAGCCACGAAAGAAAGACTGGATTCTAACTATTTTCGCGAGATATTCTACTCTCTTTTGTTTCTTTGCCTTGATTCTGCGATAGTATCTTTTCCACGATCTCTGAACCTTCACTGCAAGCCTGATCTTATTCTGTAAATGCTTCCTACACCTTATCAGTCATGCCCTAACCTCCCATCCCTCATCCCAATAAGACTGCACTTACTTATATCTTTTCTTTTGCAGCCATCCTCTCACGCAGGCTTGGATCGTGATGATTATTTTACGTAGTTCTTTCTTCCTCTCCACCTTATTTAAAATAACCATGGATTGTGGGCATGTCTAGTGTGTGAAACAGCTTGTATGGAACTTTAGTGTTGTGCTTCTTTTCGAGATCTTTGATGTTTTTCATGAGTTCTCGTTGACGGTCGACTTTTTGTTTGTCTTCCTGGATTTGACTTTCGATGTCTGAGATGTTTGGCCTTTGGGTTAGAAGTAGTTTACTTAGTTATCATCTTTTTCCAGAAATTCATTGCAGTGGATGTAGCTTTTGGAGCTAAGGGTGATGACATTGAACTCTAGAGCCAGAATAAGATTATGCAAAATTAGAAATCCGTATATCTAAAGTCAGACTTATGATTAAAAAATAGAAGTATTTGAATTTCATTAATACCTGCACTATTAAATGCCTTCATATATTCTAAGAAAAATAGCAAAGTTTCATATTTTGGTTTAAACAAACTCACAAAATAACCGAATGTGAGATCTGACCTAATAACGCTAGGAACAGATATTAAGCCTGCTTCATGTGTAACTTACCAGCAAAGTGTCTGTAAACTTGCTATCACGATTACGTCCTCTTTTGGCTTCTAAAAAAGAGTAAGTATAAATATTTTGAAATTGACTGAAATATTTCTTATATAAATTTCTTGAACCAATATCTTTTACCTTCAAGAGTCATTGGAAAGAGATGCTTAACTTGGGATCTAGAGAATAATAATAGCTAAATTACCCTCTTGAGGTCGTATGACCCCACTTGAGCATATTCCTACTCTTGCTGGGTATATTTTTTGATCTAGGAGTTGAGCCGAACTTTATATGACTTCTATGTCTCTTCATATTCTTTGCTGACAAATTTTGACTTTCTAAATCTATCTCAATCCCCAACCCCTAAAGCAAACTCCCCAAAAGCCTCAAACAACCCAAGTAGATTATCCGAAGCCCCAACTTACGGTTCCTTGCAAATCCAAGAGGACTGAACATTTTATTTCTCTGAATATTTGGGAAATTCGCTATACCATTGTCACCACTCCCCGCCTGAAATCCCTGTTCTAAACCCTCTAAAAAGGTGCTTTGCCTCTCTAGATGTCTCTAAACTTACTTTGGGGCACATTTCCGTAATTATAAACTCTATTTGTCCTGATCGCCATTGTGGAGATTGTGTAACAAATAAATAAAACAATTTATATAAATTTGTAAGGGGTTTTGGGGTTTTGGGGTTTTGGGGTTTTGGGG